GTTCTTCCTTCTTCTTCCTTCCTTCTTGCGTTCGTTCTTCGTGCTTCTCGTTCCTTCGTTCATTCTTGCTTCGTCCGTTCATTCGTTCGTTCTTCCTTCCTTCGTCCGGTCGGAATTTTTTTGGACTCGGTTTTTTTAGGTTTAATTTCGTGGCTTGTAGAACTCAATTTGATCTTTTTATTCTTTATTATACAATATTTATATCTGGTCTCTACACACACCCATTTTTTCAATATAGGGGTGTGGGTGTCTCTCTGGCCCACAATGCATATTCTCATCGATATATATAGGCCCTAATAAAAAAAGGGGGTTTTTTACCCTGTCTTTTTTTGGAAGGCAAATATTTTTCTGTGGAATGAAGAACTCATAACTCCCCGCAAAAAAATCTTAGGGGGTGGGCTACATACCCAACGGAAACTCCCATTAATATGGGTCAGTGGACTCCCAAACCCGAAATCCCCCCCCCCCCCTCCCCCATTTTGACAGCCAATCCTCCAAACCCTGCATCAGCAGGTTCAGAAGTGGGACCCCCCCCCCCCAGAAAAAAAGAAATATTTGAATAAAAAAAGGAAAACCCTGGAGGAGTTAGTGGGTTTTGGGGGGGCAGTGAACCAAAAAAAAAAAAACGGCTTTGGAGAGTGCACTCTCAAGATTGGCCAGTCAAGGGTGTATACCCTGAAAAACCCAAGAGGGTTTCTCTTGGCTGTAGTGTCAAGGTATAGATTGGTCTGTGGTACCCTTTGCTAGGTACCTAGTACCGCTTGGCAGGTACTGCTATAATTACCAATTGGGCCACATTGTTTCAGTTTGATATTTTTCACTATTTCCATTTTGTTCCATCCCTTGCACCCACAAGCTGGCCACTGATCCCCAGAATCTTGTATATAAGGAGCCTTGTTTTTCATGTTCATTGGTTTCTCATCAGATCCTGCCCCAGTAAGCCAGATAACTGATCACCCATCATTAGCAAGGTATATGCCCATCAAAATTTGGGATCCCTTGATCTTTGGACAAGTATATTTTTACCAGTAGAAATAAGACATATTAGACATACCTTACTCAAGAAATCTTCATAGCCACACCTATTCTTCAAGAGTCCATACTCTTGTTCTTTTCTTGTTATCGTAATCATCCTACTTCCCAGAGAGGCAGCCCATTAAAGAATTATTCCCTCTCAAGCTCTATTCATCCCAAAGAGTAGTTCCACAGCGCCACAAAATCAATTATGCATGTATGATATCATGTCCCATGACATTTCATCACTGCACAGTTATTTTTCCCACATTTACACAAGAAAACTGAGCTGCTCTGAAGCTCCCTAGTACCCTGAGGGCTTCTCCTCTTTCCCTCTGGCCCTCTCTAGAATATTCAAGGAGCCCTGATTCCTACCTTTTCTCCCCAGGAAATTCTAGTAGCATCAAACCAACACTTTTACCATGATTATTAGTGCTTTACAGCACCAATAACCTTGAAACTCAGCTAACTTAGGTCAACTCTGGGCCGCTATGATACACTAAACAGCCCACTAATGTTAGCGTAGTGGCCCTCAAAACAGCGTGCCAAACTTGTAGTGTTAGCGCACTTTTAGTGCCACTACGCTGCGCTACAGTGCTTTTAGTGGCAAAAACCACCCAAAAACCACTAAAATGCACTGTAGCACAGTGTAGTGGGCCCTTTTTTGCCGCCCACATGCATAGTGCTAGAGTAGATTTCTTTATATGCTCTAACACTATGCTACAATGTAGTGTATTTGTGCTAGACTAAAGCTACTATTAGCATAGCTGGCCCAGTGTTGCTTAGGTCCAAATAGATTTACTTTAATGTGTTAAGGTCTTTCTACTTACTACTATTGCCAAAGCAATTCCCATCATAATTAATTCTGGTCCATAATTGTTACACAATACACACTTATCTCCTGAATTGTATTTAACTTTTTCCCAAGTGGATTGAATAATTCCTCATCTTTTAAGCCTATTAATTCACTTAATTGGATTGATCTGGATGTCCAATTAATTAATTGGAAGAGTCAGCAGTAGAAGTACCATTCCTCACTGACTCCTCCCTGTTCTTTTACAGGTAGAAGGATTTCAACCACAAATACACATTCCCATTACACCTTCTTGTTAACACTCATAACACGCCTCATCAGTTTAGTAGCATAGAGGCTTACACAGACAATCCTCTTGACGTCCCAGAAATTTGGGAGCTCTGGGAGTTGTTTAGCTAAGGCCCTATTTATATCCCTCTCATTACCCAATTCCCTTGTCCTGGCTCCTTTCCAGGGGCAACAATCACAAAGGTTGGCTCAGAGTCAATTTATTTTCTCATCTCACCTTCAAACTCATCCCCCTCCCTTTACTCAAGACAGACAGGGCCAATCCTAGGCTACACACTTTCCATCTGATCCTGCTCATTGAATATAAGATGAAAATGGAAGTCAAGAATGACTTTTGTGGAAGCTTTATTGGTCACTGCATAGTCTGTAGGACTTTTCAAACACACACTCTCTCTCATCCCCCAGAATTAGTGGTGGATTCTCAATCATTTATACAGCATGGTCCTACTTAGAGAGTAGAACACTCTTGTTTGGTAGCTCCCATTTGATCAATAGCCTTCATTTTGCACTCAGCCTATCAGTGCTTGTTTGAGGGTCAATAATTTGGACTTGGGTGTTTTCCACAGAAGGGAGTTTTTCATTAGTTCAATCAAGCTCATTTCAACACCTCCCAATAAATACTTTTTGTTTCTTATCTTGACAATTATTAAAACTGATCCCCTAGATTCTTTATTCAGAATACCATTCTGTTTTCACATAAAACAAATCAAATCATTCTTGGAGACTAGTTTTTGCCCCTCAATCCATCCAGCCTAAGAAATTCATATCAAACTTCCAGAAATCCAAAATGATCTTTCTGGATCATTTTCTGGATCTCTATATCAATTCCTGCTAGTGGATCACTTATCCTTGGCATTTAGAATCCTCACAGAATTTGATTTACATCTCCAAGGTCTTATATTTTGTAAAAAAACTTATCAGAACCCTTGTTAAAATGGTGCTCATATGAGCTGGTTGCCGTTTGGATCAGTGCCAATTTAGAACTGAGAGGGGTCTAAAAAATATTCTAAATTGTGATGGGAAGTCCTCCAGTTGTCTCTATTATTCATGGCAACATAGTATCAGATATTTTTCCCATAACTTGGCCAGTGATGATTCATTCCATACAGTTGAACTTGATCAATTCTTTTTTCCCTAATGAACCTCTCATAAATTCTCAGTTATGCTTTTGTAATGCCCTTCTTGTGGTTATGTGAAAATATGTGCCAAAGCATTTGATGCCCTATTGTGCACAAGCCACACCCTTAGGCATAAACTGAGCATAAGACTCTACTCAGTGATGTGCACATCAAACTGGGATTTAGTTTGCCTAGAAACTTAATCCATCTTGTGGATGTTCTTTGAGTATATTCATTCAATGAGGAAAATTCAATCTTCCCTTTTTTCATGGATCCCAAGAAGAGCTCTGGCAATTGTTTTTCTGTTTTTGGGGATAGGAGGGTTGTTAGTGATCTTTTAGTTTGCATGTGGGGTGACATCGCAGCAAGAAGGAGGAAAGGGCATTTAGAAACATTATTTTACAGTTCCCATTCTTGCTGCAGCATGCTAGCTTGCCAAACAAGGGTTGATCCCGGAACAAGTTTCAAGATTAACTTTCTGCATTTTGGGTTATGTTCATCGCATCTTTTGTTAGTACACAAGGACCAGAAAGCTTAATAGACTTGACAAATCAATCATCTATAAAGTGGCAGTCTAATGCCCATTTGCCACTCAAAATTCCTCAGTAAATCAAATTTTCAGCATGCAACCTTGGCTCTGCTCTTTCCTTATCCTATCACTGTGTTATTGTGAGATTCACCAAATTTTGTGTAAATTCAACATTGTTCAAGATCAAGAAGTGACCGACAACATCGACTTGGAGCTTTCCCTGGGTGTTGGAAAAAGTCGCGGAAATCAGCTGGAGGGCAAGGTACGACTTGAGACAACAATACAAATGGGATTGACTGAAAACTAATGCAGACTCAAGTTTTTGCCATTAACAGTTTCCACTCTGCAGAACTCCATCAGAGGTCCCCGCGGAGGAACACGTCAAGACAGAGCCCCGTGAAATATTTCCAATCGATCCCAAGCAACTTGGGGGCAACAAAAGAAGAGTTGTGAGCATGACAGATGAAGGACTTCATTCTTCAAAGCGCTTTCATTCAGCAGTACTCGCAAAGGAAGAGATTGACTGCCATGCGGAGTGTCTACCAAAACAAGAGCAGTTATCAGAGTATCTTGGGAGCATCTACCCACCCATAATTGATGGATCCCCGTTTGAAAAAGTGGCCACCCATCAGCCTCAGCCATGGGATGTGGACTTTGCCAGTCAAACAAAATCACAAATTCCACATCCTGCTTTCAATCATTTGAGACCTTATGCAACACATCCAAACGTAGCTCTGTCGCCCAGCTGGTTTGGTCGACAACCCTTCCATGACACAACATCCAATAACTTTTACAAATCTAACTACCCACATTTATTCTCACAAGGGCAAGGTGCATCGAGGACCCCGGCAAGCCCTAGGATAGGGGGGTGTTGAAAAAGTCTGAATTTTGGCAAAATTCATACCCGGGGGCCCCGCGGGGAGTCACTTTTTTTGGAAAATTCATACCTTTTCAAGAGTATGCTTCGGCTAAAATCCCCTCAAAAAAGGGCAGCCCCCGGTAAAATGTCCGATCTGGGGCCAAATACCAAGATTTTATTGGTTTAAACCAGGCTCACATACCTAATATGGCCTCTTTCATGAGTACCATTTCGACAAAAATCACAAATTCATACCCATTTCAAGAGTATGATTTTGGCTTTTTTGCCATTTTCACATACCTTTTTCAACACCCCCCTATTAGGGGGCTTTCCGGGGTCCTGTGCATCGACAACTGGGATGGTAGAAAATAAACTTACAAGCAGTGATCCCACGTGGCTTGGTCAACAACTCCGCGAACATTACTCCTGTCAAATTCTCGATTGGATTCCGCCTGATATCAACGAAGCAGCAGCCCTTGCATCGTATTCCATAGCTTCGAAATTCTTCTTCAAAGCGCCGTTGAATGTTCGAGCGATGCATGAATCACACTCGATCCTGATTCCGTTTCTTTACAAACTAATGAAGAAACCAATCTCGCAAAATCACTGGAAAAGCATACTCAGTGTCTGGAACAGATTCTGGAAAGCGCCCATGAAAGCGGACGGTGATGTTTACGCGCTCAAGAAATTTGTTTGGATCTCTGACCTGATTTCCGAATCCACTCTGCCTGAAATCTACCAGGACGCGGAGGTAGAGACCAGGTATGATTTTCATCTGATGACTGATGAAGTTCTGCTCATCAGGTGGCTGTCAGATACTCGACGTGAGAAGCAATTTTATAACACCATGAGGGAGTCAGTGACCGCGCTAGCAAGCAAGTTTGACAAAGAATATTCCAAGACGGATAGAGTACGGTTAGAGTGGTTAACTGAGACTCAGCTTCATGATTTAGTGCTGAATAACTTGAAGGAAAGATCCGCTTCGATCAGTTCCACGATTTCGGAATTTGTGTATAATGGTCAAGGAGTACACTTTTGCGAAATAAACCCGTTTCTTAGGACTTGTCAAGAGATCTTTCTATTGGAAGAGGAGAAACGTCACTCGGTTCGTTTTGAGCAATTCTCGCTGCACCAGAGGGCTCTCCTGAAAGATATTGATCAAAGAAATTTCGGGTTGGGTTTACCCCCCGTTTCTGTTTCCAAGTCATCCATGAAATCAAGAATAAAGTCTCCCAAAAATTATCAATAACTACTTTAATTGATACTGTTATCGTGCAAGAAGTCGTTGCTTTAGAGAATTTTGACAAAAAATATCAATCTCAAGTCTTTCCTCAAATCCTTCAATTTTTAATTTCCTTTTTGTAAGCACTTTTGCATTCCTCTCCTGTCACATGCTGAGTTTGATTTTCTACCTACATACATCCCTTTTTTGATGAGACAAACTGGGACAGCAAAGAAGTGATGTGGAAGGATTATGTATTCATTGCATCAGTAATGACATAAGAAACTGGAACATAATGAAAGGAAAAAGGAGAAAAAAGAAAAGAGAAAGGAAAAAGGAAAAGAAACTCATACCTGGGACAGCAAAGAAGTGATGTGGAAGGATGAGGAGAATCCTTCCACGAGTGAGTTGCTGCCCCAGGTATGTGACATGTGATGATCAGAGGTGTAGCATACAACACACAAGTGAAACCCAACATTTTTTGCCCCAAATACTTCTTGATTCAAAGTCTATTTCTGATCAGTTGGAACTCTCAACAATTTTGATCATCAATTGATATCAGCCCACTATATGTATGTGAAAACTGCCATGACTAGTATTGGAAATACAGTGAAAAAAGTCTGATTGCATAACCTTTTTAACTTCATGGCTGGCCTATATAGAGAGCAACGGTGGGCCGCTACACTAACCGTAGCGGTTAGTGTAGCGTAACACAGCGGAATTGCTGTTAGCGCTAAGCGTAGCGTAGCGTAATTCTGCCGCAACACCGCTAACACTACGCGTGTGGGCCGCAAAAAAGGGCCCACTACGCTGCGCTACAGCGCTTTTTAGCGGTTTTTGGCCGCTTTTTACGCTAAAAGCGCTGTAGCGCAGCGCAGCGTAGCAAAAAAACGCTAACACTACAGTTTTTTGATGAAAAGAAAGCGCCGCTACGCTACGCTTTTTGGGCCAAAAGCGTAGTGTAGCGGCCCACCGCTGTAGAGGGAGCCTAGAGACAAAAGAAAGGGCTTCCACAAATTCTTAATTTTGCTTCAAACCCACCATCTCTCAGAGTATAACCTGTTCATAAACATACAAAGAGCTTTCTCCCAAGTAGTGTGCCATAGACAGGGTTGACTGTTTAATACCAATATCATCCTCCTGAAACATGCAGAGTGAAAGATTGATATTGTGGTGCTGATAAAGATTGTGGCCTCAAAAAAATTAGTTTTGATCTTAATGTGTATGAATCCAGTAGTATATCTTCCCTGAAAAACAATGGTTACATTTTCTATTTGATGGGTTTGGTTTTTTATTCAATACATTGTTGTAATGTTATAATTGGTCTGATTGCTCACTATTGCTGCTGAACTGGACATACAGAAAGCTTCTGAGACTCAACAAAGCTTCTAGCACTAAGCAAGACACCCCCTCTAGACTATGAAGGTTTCCATTTTTTCTGTCAAGAGTCTGTACATACAAGAAGCCAAACAATTATCTATCAGAGGACTGTCAAAATCTGTGGGCCCCCAAATTTTGATTTGGAGCCTCAAGAGATAAATTCCCCTGAAAATATCTAGACTTTGAAGGTCTAAATCAAAATCTGGGAGGGGCCCAGATCTGATGGGAAGTCCTCCATTCTGAGCTGTAACCAAGCAAACCAATATGCAAATACTGCAAGTCTCAGGTAAATTTATCAGCAAAAAATAAAATGAAAAGGGGACACCAAATATGTTTTGAATATAATTCAATGGAGGACTTACTTTTGAATCTATTTACAGCCCTTTTAGATGTTGATTTAGACCTGAAATGTACACTGTTGATTGTCAACGCAATATGTTACTAGCTAGGACTGATAGAAACCTCAGCACCCTTCATGGTGAATTTATTTCCAGGATTCAAGTATTTTATAGATTTGTACTGAAGATTTTACAAATTTCTTGATTATGCATACAGTTCAATTTAAAACTTCTTATACTAGCACAAAGAAGGGTTATCTTAGTTGGGTAACAACAGAGCTTAGAGATGGCCCCACCACATCCGAATATCTGCACGGATGCAGATATCCGCTCACTTTTTCAGTGGAATTGGACATCCGCTGGCGGATATCCGTTGGCCACAGCAGGTATCCACTTTAAATTGTCAACAAGGCAAGACCTCACTGGCTGGAAGGGTTTCCTTCCAGCCGGTGAGGTACATTAGAGATGGGCGGGGATAATCCGTTGCGGATATCCGCTATCCGCTGGCGGATATCCGCCAGGGCCAGCGGATGCGGATTCGGGTGCGGATGTCCTTTCCCCCCCCAAATCCCGGCGGATATCCGGGTATCCCCTGGGATACCCAAGACCAATGGCCGGCTGGAAGGGTTTCCTTCCAGCCGGCAAGGTCCTTCCAGTTGGCGAGGCATGTACCTCGTCAACTGGAAGGCAACCTTTCCAGCCGGCAAGGATGTGCCTCGCCGGCCATTTAGAGGGTGGGTATCCGAGGATATCCGCTCGGATACCCGCTAAGGCGGGGGGATATCCGCCAGGGGATGCGGATGCGGGTGCGGATGCCGCTTTCCCCGGAAAAAGCAACCGGATATCCGGATGCAACGCGACCATCTCTAAGGTACATGTACTTTTTTGTCCAGAAGGTTTTCCTTCCAGCCGGAAAGGTACATGTACTTTGTTGGCCAGAAGGTTTTCCTTCCGGTTGACAAGGTCACAAGGTACATGTACCTTGCCGGCTGGAAAGCAATCCTTTCCGCCCGTCACTCTCAGTCTCTTGGCCTTGGGTATCCCTGAAGATACCTGGATATTGGCCAGGTTTTCATGGAAGAGCAGCCATCCGCACCCAAATATGTATCCGCCAGTGGATAGGAGGTATCCACAACAGATAAACCAAGGTCTAATGTAGCTCCAGCTCTGACAGAGCTGGAGCTAAAGATGGCCATTGGTACCCAGGTACCTCTAGCGGTACCCTGGTACCTCCTTTGTTTTGCTCAGAAATGGACACCAGGTACCTCACCTGGCACCCCCTGGCAGGTGCCAGGCAGGTCTGGGCGGTACCAGGCAAACGGGTGCCGGGTACCTCCAAACGGGTACCGATGTCCATCTTTAGCTGGAGCTACATGGGAACAGAAATCAATGTTACATGATGTCAACTGATGTCTATTGAGCATAGATTTTTCCTGGCGAAAGTACAAGAGTTCTGTTTGGTGACTGGTCAAACCATAATCACTTTTTAAACTTCATTCTACATAAAATCCTAAAATTTGAATTTTTTGAGAGAAACCCCAGATATAGAGAGAAATCTGAAGCTTCATAATAGTGATGTTCAGGACATGTTGGGCTTATGATTTTATGTCAAGAGTTGGTATTCTTCCCTCTTCCTGATCATCCTTGAAAAACTCTCCTATTCCTTGCATTTTAACTTCAACATTTCACCTCCCTTAGACTCAGTAAATCTCTGGGATCTACAGTATCATTGCCTGATAAATTCTCCACTATAGTTTAAAGTGGTCTCCTTTTATGAAGCCTACCCCCCCCCCCAGCTTCCAGTAAGTAAACAAAACCTGTCTGAGAGCATCTCCATTGCGGGCCCTATATCGGGTCCCTATCCCACATATAGTGACTGCGAGGCCCAAAAACACAGCCACCGCGGCCCCTATGTGGGGCCCTATAATAGGGATGATGGCCAAAAGTCCCTATCAAGCTGTATGTATACTCGATAGGGCCTGGCTGATTGGCCCTATACCGTGTGAACCTTCTGACATTGGAAGGTTTCATGCATCCTCAAGTACAAAACAACTCCGACCAATTGGCTTTCACCAACCTTTATGGCCAATACACCCGCTAGCGGTGAAAAAAAAACCCTGGCCGGGTCGCTATCCACTTTTTTGGGTCCCTATTGGAGGCATATAGGGCCCGCGGTGGAGATGCTCTGAGAAGGGTCTTTCTTCCCTCATGTAGTTCTACTTATCTTGTTGGTTATAGCCAAATTTTATTTGTGTTTATTATTGGATCATATTGATTCTTATAGTGATGTTTCTCTTTCATCAAAATATTTAATATCTCTTTCTTCAAGGGGCTTGGTTTATTGACTCCTGAAAATTGGAGGGTCAACTCCCAAACCCCCAGGATGTCCTGAGGATCTTCTTGAGAAGGTCCTCAGGAAATCCTCCCCCAAATTTTTGGAGTCAAGCCTTGAAAACCTGCAGTGGATTTTGGAGTCAGGGGTCCAAAAATTTATTCAAAAAAAAACCAATCAGTTTGGACTCAATCCTCCAGAAACAAACAGGGTTTTGGGGGTTGGTACATTGAAAAGAGCCCCTGGTGGCTGGGAGGACTCCTCCAGGCTGTAGAGAGTATACTCTCAATGGCCGTGTGGTATTTCCATACCTGTCCATTTAAGGTCATTTTTACCCATCATCATCACATATATCTTCCCAGTATTATTCCAGCTCCTCTTCCAGTTACTACTTTCCCTCCAATCACCTTCTTACAGTATATTGAGTACTCTCATGTTCTCCTCAAATATTATCCCATCAAGCATAGATCTTCATAGTTCTTTCTTATTAAATATATATTACATATAGTCTATACCATGGGGCGGGTTTTTAGAAAAACTCCCCAGCAAACGGATGGATTCCGTCCCAAGCGCCCACAACTTGGTTTTGAAGCATCCAATGGGCGCTTGGGCTTGCCTAGCATCATTTGGACGCTACAGAAAGCGTCCAAGGGATGCTTGGCAGGCGAGACCATCCAGAGGATGGCATACAGCCCACCATCCATCCGACACTTGATTGAGAGTGTCCAATGGACAACAGGAAAACCATCAATTGGACACTTCTCAGAGTGACCATTTGATGGTTTTCACGTAGGTCCACAGTCGAAAAAAATGGTTGATGGTCAAAAAATAGGCTTGGAGGGTGGTCGATGGTCGAAAAACCATCCTGAGATGTGTCTGGGGGCATATGGATAATGTTTGTGTGGAACTAGTATGAAGCCACATGACATAGTGGTCATGTGCTCCCTTCTGCATCTGGCTGGTGTGATGTGGCATGGGAGGCAGGTTGCCAGTTCAATCCTGCCTGCCCGTCATCTTTTGTGCCCGGGGGCTTCCAAGCCTACCATCCGATGGATGGTCTGGCCCTACCATCCGATGGATGGTCTGGCCCTACCATCCGGCTTCAGCAAAATGCAAAGCACATCCAATGGATGCTCCTTGCAGGGCCAAAGTCGAATGGCATTTGGTACATCCGTTTGGGTATCCAAATGCCATCCACCACGCCTGGTGGTGTAGTTAAAATACTTTTGTAGAATCAGTATTTTCAGCTACATTTCCTATATTACATATCATCTAGTTACAATAATTATGTAGAATCACTGTTTTCAGCTACATGTCATATTTTACATAGTACTACATATTTAGTTGAACCTTGAACATCTTTTGCTCATGCTACTTGCTTTTCTTTCATCCTTGTTTGTCACATTGTTATCATTCATTTACCATTCACATACTCAGCCCTCTACAACTTCCAAAACTTGTTAATCATCATTGTTGTGTTGTTCTCAGACAGTCTACTCATCCCTTTTACTGTCCCTATAGCCCCTACATGTTGTACATATAAATAGTGCCCTCTTTCCAAGTTGTAGATCCATCATGCACCTAACTTACTAGTAACACACACGGTAAATAAGCATAACTTACCAGTATTACCTTTGCTATTATCTGTTGAGATAACTGTATGTAGTCATCATATGCTTATAGTTGGGTATGCTTCTACTAAGCAAGTCATCTCTACTAGATTGCCAGTTTCATTCTCTCCCCTCTCCTTATCAAAATCTAACCAAATTCCCACTTTTCCCTCTCTTTGTTTTGGTCACCTGGGTTCCCCTCAAAAGTATTAAACTTTGCCAGTATTATAATCCTTGCTAGTATTATAAACCTTGCCAGAATTATAAACCTTGCCAGGATTATAAACCTTGCCAGGATTATAAACCTTGCCAGGATTATAAACCTTGCCAGCATTATTAACCTAGCCAGGATTATAAACCTTGCCAGGATTATAAACCTTATTTCCAGCATTAACATCTCCAGTATTTAATCATTGTCAGCACTATCTTACCAGCAATATCCTTACCATTGACTTGAATCAAAAGATTTAACCAGTCATAAGCTATTTAGTTTCCCTACCTATTCAAGACCCTTGTTCATACTGACTTACACATGCATCCAGCATCCCTAGAAAAACACATTAACAGAAAATAATTGACATTGCAGAGATTCTATTTATGCCAGTTCATATGCAGAACATCAATAACCTTTGCACACTATGCACTTATCTTCTGCACTCAAGTAGCATTATCTAAGATGGGAGCCAGTGCAAATAGAGGAATGTGTCAACTTTCCACGGATCCAACTTTGAGAAATCTGAAAACCAAAAAGAAGTCAGCTTGATGTTTTCCATCTTGCAGGTTTTTTTTTTAAAAAAAAAAACTGCAAGTCAATCATTATGATTTTTAGATCTTACAATGGAGACCAGCACAATTTGGACAAAAAGAAGCTGTGTAATCAGATTAAAATTTCCTCAAGGATCAAGTCGTGAATGACCACTGAGAAAGACTGGTATGACTAGCAAAAGTTTAATGCAACAAAGTGCCCATAAGTTTTAATTTGTTGATGAACCCCAATCCACCACCATAAGTAGTGTTTAACATTGTGCCAACAGCAGCCGATGCAAGACTATTTTAATAATTCAATGAAAAACTTCTTCCGAGAGCAAGATTATCTTGCCCTCGGGGGAACGGCCAGCAACACTGAAGACAAATTGTCATCGCCTTGTGTCCAAGTGACATCGGCCTGGAGGGTGGATGCTGCACTGCCTTGACCCCCCAGGCCCCACCACCACTAAGCAATCCACAAGGGCAATACGGCTGCAGAAGATTCAGCATCGACGGTCCATCCGATTCTTCATCGACCGGGCCCGGGCGATGATCAATCGCCCGGTAGCCAGACAATTTCGACGGCTCGCCGACGGGCCTCCTTAGTGACCAGGTTGCATACTTGCTCTCCAAGGAGACTCCTCCACAAGTACTAGGCCACATGCATTCCTGATCGCCAAGGAGCCTCCTCGACCGAGGAGACTTTGTGCTGAATTAGCAATATAAAATATAACCCCCAGCATCCTTGTAAGTTATGGAGACCTGTCTCAGGGTACAGGTCCTGTATTTTCTCTTCGTAGACCATTACTCTCAGTCCTCATTATCAGTGATGGTTAGTGACAATTTTGATGCCCAGCCTAGATACGTCTATCAGCATAACGATGGATGAAAAAAATGGAATAGCACGATGAGAAAAGGAAAGGGATACACTACGATGATGTGACAATTATTTGTGCTGCGTCCTAGCTATATATATTTAAATATTTTCATCATGACTTCAGAAACCAAAAACTCTGATCGTCATGTTGATCGTCATTGTTTCTACCAATATAACATGTTGGGATGCGCTCATAATTCATCAACAATTAGCGAAGTTGATCAGTAATGCTTAATTAATTATTGTCAAGTTACAGTTATAACCCCATCTGTCCTTAGGCTTAAACTTCTGTTGAAACATAACAATCTCCATGTAAGACAGTCAGTCGTGCCGGCAGCTTAGATTGAATAATGGCTATTACTGGAGAGTCTTAGACTTGAACCAGCTATTGCCTTAGAGCGTGTGGGAAATGTTGATGCTCAAAGATGATGTTTCTAATGTTACGATTATTTTCAATGATGTGCATCGCCTTGAAACAGATAAACTTTCTAGGAAGACAGCCGATAGCAATAATGTGTGCCCGAGACGACTAGGAGAAATTTTGCCGGTTATTCACTTCCCAAGAGAAGTGGTTGCTTTCAGCGCGCTACTCTTCGGAGTTGGCCTTGAAGTCTGACAAGGCTATATTTGCAGGCATAAAAGGGGGGGGGGGCAGCTGAGGCCATCGTCAATTCCTCATCCTCCATCCTCCTCAGCAAGTCGGATACAAGATAAAAGATTTTAAGCTTTCCCAACCAATTCCTAAACAACTGAAATATCTTATTTGAGTCTTCCCCAAATTGACAAGATGCAGAGCTTCAACCTACTTATCGTATTCGCAGCAGTGTTGTTGATCAACACTCAAGTGAATTGTGGCTCGTTTGTGTGTCCCATTCCCGGTCAACCTGAAGACCAAAAAGATGCCTATTGCATCCGAAGAATAACTCGCGAGGAGCTCCGTGATCCGGCTAATAAAAATGCAACCATGTTCAGTAAGTCTAGTGGAGTTTTGAATCTATGAATGATGTTGTCTCATCCATTAAGCTCGTGATCTCTTGTCGAACTGAACCACAATGATTCTTGCAGAGCTCCACATAACCGAAAAAGGTGAAGATGGATTTACCTGCGATGATGTGATTTTGAACGGTAAACCGGCCAGAGACAGCTTTTGTTGCAATGCTCCAGGTGACATTGGTGTGGTCAGTTTTTGAACCACAGCCCGTTATCAAGCAAGACAGATTCGATAAGATCTGACACCGCTCCCCCACAGGTTCTGCCAAGTCCCCAAAGCATGTGGGATAACAAATGCAGCATCATTGAAGATTGAAGACCAACATATCCTTCCTTCCCCCCTTGAATTTCTCTTCGAATCGGATCATCCTCATTGGCTGCATCTTTTATAATAACCTAAACTTCTTGCTCATTCTAGACTCACAAAATCCTGAAATTGTAGTAGAAATTTGATTCTTATCAGCATAATCTCATCTCACTATTCATCTTTTGGCCTCATCTATTCAGTTCACATTTTGAAAAGAAAAGAAAAATTGGTGCAAACACCAGGAAAAAAAACAATGAACACTTGGTGACAAGTGACATCACGCTAATTTCCAGTGTACTACCCATTACATATCCAGTTCAATTCTGCCTGAGCCCCCTGTATAGTTGTTCTTAAATTTTTGAGCTCCGGACAGAAAAAGATTGAGGATTTTGAGAGAATGGCGCAAAAAAGTTGAA